TGTACCCGGAGAAGGCGATGGGCATTCACGTGCTCGGCGTCTTTGACGCCCTGGAGAACCTCCTCTCGCCGGAGCGCATGGCCCGCGTCGGTCTGAAGCAGCTCATTCCCGACCTGTCCTCGATTAAGAGCCTCAAGGACCTGCAAGGACTGACCGGCCTCTTCGACCTGGACAACCTCGAGAACCAGCCGGCGATTGTGGCGATGAAGAGCATGCTCTCGGAGACGGACCGAAAGAAGCTTTTCCCGCTAAAGGAGAAGCTGGTGCAGGCTTTTGAGGAGACGGGCATCCTCCACTTGATGGCCACCAAGCCGGACACTATCGCCTCAGTCCTGATCGACTCTCCAGTAGGCATGGCGGCGCACATTCTCGAGAAGTTCAGCACCTTCGTCGACACTGAGAACCGCAACGCTGAGGACGGTCGTCTGACGGCCAAGTTCACCCTCGACGAGATGCTAACCAATGTGATGATTTACTGGACCTCGGGCAACGTCGCCGCTACCTGCCGCATCTACAAGTCCCTCATCCAGGAGAACTCCGGTGTCACCAAGTGAGTTTACTCTAAAAAATATTTTTATTATTTCTGATTCTAATATTCTTTTTTCCCTAGTGAGATCATCAAGGTGCCCGCCGGTGTGACCGACACTCCCCACGAGGTGATCCAGTCGCCCCGCCCACTGGTAGAGCCCAACTACGCCCAACTGCTGCAGTACACTGACCTGCCTCGAGGTGGTCACTTCCAGGTGTTTGAGGAGCCCAAACTGGTGGCCGACGATCTCCGCCAGCTGGTGGACAAGATCCGCGCCCAGAAGCCCAACGGGCCGATTGGAAAGCTGATCGATGGCGCCAAGGACCGACTTGGACTTTGAGCTAGATCTTTTGTGACCGCTCACTGCGCACTTCACCCTGAAGTCTTTCAAATATCTGGCATTAATGTAAATCTTAAATAAACTTGTACAAGTTTAATTTGCTTAGCACAAGTGTTCTCTTCTTCGGCTACAATTGCTGCAGTATACTAGCTAGACCCAAATTTTGGGGTGATGAGAGTGAAAAAAGAAGTCACACTAGATGACGAAACAGCAATTGACAGTAGCCTCACAAACTAAACTAATTTAATTTATTTGCACTGAAGTTTAGCAACAGTCCTCTGATTTTAAAAATACAACGCATTAGATTTGTTGTTGTTGTTGCTCTGAGCAGCGGCAGTTGAGGAGCTGTCGTTGTGCATGTTCATCTTCATCATCATCATCTTCATGGCCATCATCTTGGGCGGCTGCGGCATGGCCGGACTCTGACAGTACGGGTTCAGCGAGAAGGTGCTCACCGCCGCCGGGCAGATCTTCCCTCCCTCCAGCGACTGGTACGTGTCCGCCCACAGCTGGCGACCCTCGCTGATCAGTCGGCGACACTCGGCGTAGTCGGTCCAGTGGCGGTCGGCCAGCTTGGCCAGCGCCCGTTGTGCATAGGAGAAGTCAGTGGTGAAGGCCTGCGGGGGAGTGATCGGTCGGTGGCAGAGGGCGGTCACGGCATCGCCGCACTGAGCGACGTCCATCACCGCCGGCCAGCTGGCCATCATCGAGGAGAGCGTTGGTTTGCCGTAGGCGGAGAAAAGGACCAGGTCCATCGTCCGCTTCAGGCCAGCCTGGAGGGTGGCAAAACGTTCCTCCGTCTCTGCGGTGGTGATCTGCCGTCGGAGCAGCTCCACGTCGCTGATGATTGAACGGTCGACCTTGCCAATATCCATCAGACGGAGGATCGAGTCGAGGTAGGCGCGGTACATGCGAATGGTGATCGCTTTCTTCACCTCCGCTCGAAGTGCCTCGTTTTCGATCAGCTCGTCGATGCCGCGCAGTGATCCGCTGTACAGGTGCGGCCGCTCAAAGACCGTCTTCGTCCACCGGCTGACGTACTCCGTGGGGGCGTCCTTGTCCATGTCCAGGGTGAGCGGCTCTCCGCCCAGGTACTCCATGATCATAGAGCTGTTTGAGAGGAATGCCTTCATCTCATCGCTGGCCTTCACCTTGAACTGGGCGTCGCCTTTGACGATCGCCTCGTAGCTGGCGCTGATTTTCGCCTCGACCTCAAGCTCTCGCTCTCGGTTGAAGTAGTCCTCCTTCACTTCGGTGCGCATGTAGAGAAAACCGCCCAGGTAAGACTTGTCAAAGTAGTGGGTGCCAAAGGCGTCCAGGAAGCTGTCGTACTCTTGCTGGGCGTCGATGTACTTCCTCACCGGGCCGCTGAAGAACTCCTTGAAACTGGGCGTCAGACTGGGCTGAAGGGTGCCTTTTACGGCAAAGTCGACCTCGATGGCCGAGGTGAAGGCGGAAGTCTGTAAAAAGGGTAGAAAAAAGGGTGATCAGAATAATGCTAATGAAATAAGCAACCACGGTATTTTACCTCAGCAATCATGGACTTTTTCTGGAATTTGCTACTCTCCGCCGCTTTGACGCTGGAGCTAGCGGAGAAACTGCCAAAGAGGGCGTTTACACTGGTGGAGACACTCGCCTCCAGTGACTTCTTGTACTGCTCAGTGTCCTCGCTGATGGCCGTCTTGGCAGTCATGGAGCCGCTGGGCACCACATTGACGCCCTCCACCTGGTCCGGCCAGGCGTACTGCTTCTGACTTCCGGTGCCGGGCATCATCCACTTGCGGTCCTTGTTGCAGGTGAACTCAATCAGCGTCTTCTTAAAGCCGTCTCCGCCCTTGGTGTTGGTCAGGTCCAGCTGGGTGAGGTCCACGCCACGAGCCATTCGCTGGATGCCTGGAATGAGGTCGGGGCCGCAGGGAGTGCCCATTGGAGGGGTGGTGATGGCGCAGCTGACCAAGTGGACGCCCAAAAGGGCCCACAAGGCGACGATGGCAGCGTTCATGGTTTTGGCCATCTTCAAATAGCTATTCAGTTGTAGGGGTACCATTCACAACTATCCAGTTGAGAGCTTTTATACAGCTCCAGTTTTGAACTGGAACTGAACGATGGAGATTGCGCCGGTTTCATCTGTGTCAGTGAGTACGTGAGTGATAAAACTGAGGTGATGTGCGGTAATAACAACGATGATGATGGCGATGATGATGGTGATTATTGATAAAGGGGAAGGAAAAAGCAGCTGACTGCTACAAAAAAACGAGGGCAAATAGTGGAACGGCGTATCAAGCAGCAGCAGCAGGGTCGTTCTGTCTCTTTTCCATGAATTGCAGCTTTTGCTCATGTGAGCAGTGCGTTTTAGCCAAAAAGGGTGGTGATGCTGACGAGAGCTGATTTTGTCGTTGATCACTGCTGCTGATGGTGTTTTTGAGTGCAAATAAGTAAGAAATGTCACATCACTGTCTCTAAGCGAGGGAAGAAAAGAAAAACAAATCACGCAAAAGTAGGCATCATTTGGAGGTGCGGGTGGTGGTGGCGAAAGAGCGTTGCTTTACTTCATTTGCTGATTGGGCGTCCACTTGGAGCATCGAGAGCAAAACTGAAAAAAAAGATTTGCTGCTGAAGAGCATTTGCCTTCTTGCTTCAAGCAGAAAAACACTCAGCAATGAAGTTGCTGATTGCCCTCTGCCTTGCCTGCCTTGCCGTTTTGGGTAACAGTTTTAACATTTTAAACTTCCGTTTTAAAACTCCTCTTCTTTTCACCCCAGCTCACAGTGCAGGCTCCGAGAATGAAGAGGCAGTTCGCAGTCTGAAGGCGGCAGTGGCCCGCCTGCAGGCTCAGGACGCAGTGCCGCAGGACTTTGTCTACCTGCAGCTGCCCCGAGAGAAGGCGCCCGGAGAGCTGTGGCCAAAGTATGACTTATTATTCTCATAAAAGACCTTGTCACTTACATTGTGCTTCATTTTGCGCAGCTTCATCTGGAACGACATTAGCCGCTACTACGCCGGCCAGTTCTTCCGCGTCATCGGCGGCGCCGCCGCCCCTCTCACTGAAGTTCAAAAGGGCAGCATTCCCTACATCAGTCAGGTGAAACACTGCAATGCCTGTCCCTACGGTGATATGCACAGCAGTATCAGCATGGACTTCCGCAGCACCAAGGAGAGCGAGGTCGTCCTCTCGGCGGCCAAGTTTCGAAACTACGGCACCACCTGGTCTGACGGGATCAGCTTCAACTGGACCGCCGGGGAGGTTCGTCCGCGGAACATGGCCTACAAGGTCTGGGTGAGGAGGTAAATGAATTTTTTTCTTTCTTGAAGCTACGTTTTTTGTCTATCTATCTTTGAATCAGCCAATAATAAAAATACTAAACAACAGATAAACTTTACCTGCCACTTTTTGTCAATCAACAGCACTCTTGAGATAAAAAGCATCCCATTCTTAATTATTAAAACTATATCATCAGAAAGCACCAGAGGTCGTCCAAACGGCAGGTTTAAATCGGGTACTTCTTTTAGTATTGGATGATGCTTTTCTTTGTCTAATCAAGTTGAGTTGTAGCAGTAGTGTGGTGATGGTGGGGGGTGATTTAGGTGGCTGATAGCGCAGAGACCGCTTATTTTAGCACTTGCACCTTATCATCGGTCGTACTGTTGTCTTGTTGTTTCGTGCATCGCTTTTTGCGATATTGATGTAAGGGCAAAGTTTGGTGACGGTTTGACTCGTAAGGAGGTAGTTGTTGTTATTGTTGTTGCTATTGTTCTTTTGGAATGTGTCCTTTTCTTCTTGAGTTCCTCACTCCGCTAATTGACGGTTAATTAAAATGGAAAGAGAAGAAGAGGGAAGCAGGTCTATTTAAGGCAGAAGATAGCCCAATGGATCATTGAGGACAATTGTCGATTGGCCTGCTGCTTTACTGCAAGAAGAAGATGGAGCTACGTTTTTCTGCTTTTGTGGCCACTTTATTGGTGTTGTTGGCTTGTCAGCTGACTCAGTCTCTGGTAGTACGAGACCTAGGAGGAACCGAGTGGAAGGCTCACAATGCCAACAAATGTAAGTTGCAGTTTTGTTTTCTTACTCTGTTTGTTTACCTTTATCCTCTTCCTCAGCAATCCATGTCACTAGTCGCGTGCCGGGCTCAATTTACACCGATCTGCGGACGGCTGGCGTGCTGAACAAGGGCCACATCTTCGACAACTACAATGACCTCGAGTACCGATGGGTGGCCTACGACAACTGGACCTTTACCCGAGAGTTCGACGGTGAGTTTACTTTGATTATTTCTTCTAAAAACAAAATCTAACCTCCCTTGTTTACCAGCTGATGAGGAAATAATGCTCAAAAAGACGATCCGCCTGACCGCCCACGGTCTCGACACTATCGGCACCGTCACCTTGAACGGACACCACCTGGGCGACGTGGATAACATGTTCGTGCGGTACGACTGGCCGGTGAAAAGTCTGCTGAAGCCAAAGGGCAACGTCCTCGAGGTGGCCTTCGAGTCGGCGACGCACTACGGCAAGCGAAAGTACGATCAGTCGGTCAAGGAGAACTACCCCATTCCGCCGGCCTGTCCGCCTAGCTATCAACATGGCGAGTGCCACGTAAGAACGTATACACTATCTAGCAATTTATCTTTGCTTACTTTCTGTACTTCCCTTTTCAACTAGATCAACTACCTCCGAAAGATGCAGTCATCCTTCTCCTGGGATTGGGTTTGTTTACAGCACTTTTTGGTTTACAACAAAACCATTTTCATCTGTTTTATTCCCAATGAAGGGTCCCGCATTTCCGACTCAGGGCATCTGGCGGCCGATCACCCTGGAGGCCTTTGACGATCTAGTCCTGCGAACCGTCTCCGTGTCGACCATTGCCAAGCCGGCAAACCACTGGACACTGAACACTACTGTCTGGCTGGAGGGCATCCCCTCCAGTCACATCAGCGGCAAGTCTGACCGCCTGACTCTGCACCTGAACGGGACGGTGATAGCGGAGAAGAAGGACCTTGCCATTCACTTCAACCCCCAGGGAGAGGCGCACATTAACCTGCTGACAGAGGTGCCCACTACCATGAACATCAAGACCTGGTGGCCGAACGGCCTCGGCGACCAGCCGCTCTACGAGCTGAAGGCGACGGTGGTGAGCGGCGGCGGCGAAACGGTGGTCAAGTCACAGAAAATCGGCTTCCGCACCATTGAGCTCAGTCAGGAGGAGCTGAAGGCGGCCAAGGCGGGCCACAACATCATCAACGCCTACTACTTCAAGGTCAACGGAGTGCCCTTCTTCAGCAAGGGCGCCAACTGGATCCCGGCGCACGTCCTCTACGAGGCGATCACCGACCAGTACCTCTACGAGCTGCTGCTCGCCTCCAAGCAGGCCAACATGAACATGATCAGGGTGTGGGGCGGCGGCTTCTACGAGACTGACCGCTTCTACGAGATCGCCGACCAGCTGGGGCTGCTCATCTTCCAGGATATGATGTTTGCGTCCAGTATGTACCCTGCGGATGACCGCTTTCTGGCCAGCGTCACCACTGAGGTTCGGCAGCAGGTGCGTCGTCTGCAGCACCACCCCTCGGTGGCCATCTGGGCGGGCAACAATGAAAATGAGAACAACATCGCCGGCCCGTACTGGCAGGAGATCAAGCTGCACTGGGACCGCTACAAGCAGGACTACGTCAAGCTGACCATCAACGTCACCATGGAGACCATTCTCCATGAGGACAACTCGCGGCCTTTCGTCTCTAGCTGCCCCTCAAACGGCGTCGCCGACAAGCGCAAGGGCTACATTGCCCACCAGGACAAGCGGGCAGGTGACATGCACTGGTACATTGGCGGCGGGGACGCCTTCGACTGGCACCACTACCCAAGCGCCAAATTCGTCTCCGAATACGGCTTTCAGTCGCTCTCCTCGATGGCCGTCCTTGAGAAGTACATTGACCGGAACGAGCTGAAGTGGCCCTTCACCAAGGCCATCGACCACCGCCAACACAAGTCAAGCAGTGTACCGCTAATCAACATGATCAAGGAGCAGTTTCACATGCCCAAGGCGGGACACTCTGCTCGGGAGCTGGCCGACTTTATCTACCTCAATCAGGTCTTTCAGGCGATGGCCATGGTAAGTTTTTTAAGGATGTTTACAGTACTGTAAAATAGTTTTAACTTTTGATCTTTTCAGAAAACGGAAAGTGAGTTCTACCGCCGAAACCGCAAGTTGGCCGACAATGGCGAGGGCTTCACCATGGGCGCACTTTACTGGCAGCTGAACGAGATCTGGCCCAGCTTCAGCTGGTCCAGTCTGGAGGTGGGCGGCAAGTGGAAGCTGCTGCACTACTACGTCCGTGCCTTCTTCGACAACACCCTCGTGACGGCCTACGAGGAGGGCGAGCACCTGAAGGTGGTCCTGGTGCGCGACGACCACCACCCGGAGAAAGCGCACTTCACTGTCACCATTGACGTCTTCCAGTGGAACTCCACGACGAACAAGCCGCTACACAGTGAGCAGGTGAACACCACCGCAGAACCTTTCTCGGTGACGGCCGTCCACGAAACGGCCACTGCCGACTTGCTGAAGAAGGCCGGCTGCCCGGAGCGCAGCCAGTGCCTGCTGACGGTGCGCGCCAGTGGCAGCATCCAGGGCGCCCGCGTGGAGCGAACCAACTTTCACCTGCTCGGTCGCATGAAGAACGCCGTCGGCCTGCAGAAGGCAAAGGTGGAGGTGGTGGGCGTCGGCGAGCCGGTCACCAGCTCGGACGGACAGTTCAAGAGCTACCGCGTCGACCTTAAAACGGACCACATTGCCGCCTTTGTGGTGCTCGACCTTGCGCCCGAAGCGGCTGACACTGCTGCTGGCGTCTTCTCCGACAATGGCTTCATGATGACGAGCACCGGCTCGGCGGCTGTCACTTCGGTGGACTTTGTCGCCTCGGCTTCGGTCAGTCTAGACAGTACACAGTTGCGCAATCTGATCACCGTCAGATCGCTCACTGATGTGCACGTCTGATAAGATGAGGTGTTGGTAGTTGGTTCCTGGTTGGCACCGTCTTTCAATGGCAAGTCATTGTTCCCATTGCCAGCCTCCCCAGGATATATTTGGTTACAGATGTCTTTATGATTTTTTCTTTTTCTTCTTCACTGGTACTTAAATTACACTTGACTGAAGTCTGCTTATCAAAGTGGTGGCAAAAAAGTGAAGCTTTTTTGCTTGTTTGCTAACGTGCACGTTTTCTTCGACTGTTGCTGCAGCAACAGTCTATCGCGCTGGTTTTTTTCCGTCGCGAAAATCAGACGCCATGAAAAAATGGTGGTGGCGAGGAGAGGATAAAAAACTGGTGAAAAGCGAAAAGATGATTGGAGTGAGAAGAGCACCACCACCAGTGCTGCTGCTAGTGCGGAACTTTCCAGCACTGGCTCGCAAAGCTCATGTGTAATGAATAGTGACGAAAAGTGGTGGCACAACTGCGTAACTCGGAAATCGGGTGCAAGTGTGTCTTCTGTAAACAATAACAACAACGGCGACAAACAAATCAAAGTTGATGAGTTGACCGTTGATCGGTACTGATGATCATCGTCTGATGATGATCATTGATTGAGTTGCAAGTCACAAGCGCCAGCAGTATTTTTTCGGTGACGGAAGGACGGCGACATTGACCAGAAGGCAGTGCTGCTGCTGCTGCTGCTGCCGTCGCTTTGTTGTTGTCAGGCACATTCGGTGGGAGATGTGCTGCTGTTGATAAATCAGTGTGGTTGTGTGCTGCCTGCTGGAGGACCAAGGAACAACAAGCACCGATGGACCGTGGTGATAGAGGGCTGCCAAAACTAGCAGCAGCCGCAGCTAAACGCGACTTTGCACTTCCAACAAACTCGACGACGACGACTGTCTCTCACGGCCGCAGTACATTACCACTACCTACAGTGCTTTTATTAAAAGACACTGCCAGCTCGACTGATAACCGTCATCATCCCTGCTATTTGAAGTTTGTTCCCAGCAGCAGCAGCAGTGTCGACGCCTGCCGCCGACAGTGGCTTATCAGCCACTGAAAGAGGGAAAAAGTAGAGGGCGGCTGCTGATGATCGATCAATCGATCTTTTAGCCAAGTGGCTGCTTTAAATAGGCACTCCCAAGTGGTGGTGGTGGTGGTAATGACTGTAATGATGAGTCGACGGCAGACACGAGCAATGGTGCACCAGTCACCAGCAGGACGAAGACAGCGAAGAGACGGCAACAGCAGAGGTACTGCTGCTGCCGCAGTGGTTTTGCCCACTCACCGACGGGGTACAAAGGAAGACAAAAAGAGAAAGGAGACAAAATAAGCAGAACTGATAAGTTTTTTTGCCCGAGGTGATACGCTGTGAAAAGTCCGTGCAGCAGCAGCATCAGTTTCGGTGACAACAGCTTCGGTGACAATCACTCCCCATCACACCCAATCACCGCCACCGCTCTGCAGACGGGAAGAGAAAAAAGAAAATGAGCTGTGGTGAGTGATGAAGCTCACGAAGTGAACGAAAGTAGACAAAGAAAGAAAAAAAGAAGATGATGAGAAACTTGAAGGTTGCACTAGAGCAGCAGACGGCACTGCAACAACACACTCACAGAAAGAGTGCTGATGGTGGTGGTGGCGGTGGTGCTGGTGGTGGAGGATGGTGGTGCACTACTTCACTTGAAGACCACCACCACCTTCTTTTTTTCTCGTCGTTATCATCAGTTGACGGGAGGCGAACATCGCCGAGAGAAGAACACACACAGAAAGACAGAAAAAAGTGGCGCATCATTTAAATAGGAGCACTCTCACGCTCGCCATCCTCTCATCATCGACTGAGAGCGATCATAGCCAGAAAGAGACCGAGCAACATAGATTGAAGAAGACGAGCTTCAGAAAACGCTTATAATACTCAACTTTAATTACGAAGTGACGCCATGAACGTTCGCATAGTGTACACCTCCCTGCTGCTGGCACTATTGTACCTCCTTCTGCTGGGCAGCACCATCAGTCCGGCGGTCAGCGCCAGCCCGATCAGTCCAAGTGAAAAAGGAAAGGGCAAAAAGTTAGAGCAACCTACGGAACCGGTAAGTTGCGGTGGTGGTGGTGGTGAAATGGTCAATGAAACTGTAAATTTGGTGCTTTCAGTACGATTTCACTTATTCTAACTCTGCTCTCTTTCTTTTTCTTCTTTTTTCAAGCAGAGTTTCTCAATACGAGATGAAGTGGCGCCGATTTTGCTCAAGAAAAAATAGTATTCCACCACCTTCACCCCGCCCAGCGTTCACAACTTTCATGCATAATTTTTTTTCGTTCACACGGTTTCATTAATTATTTTATTTACCATCATCATCTTCATCATTTTTTGTCAAACAAACATCACCAGCTTTTTGTGACTAATAAAGGCAACTATTTTATTTATAAAACTTTACAAAGTTTACTTTGCTATTGCAGTGGTGCTAATTGTTGCTTACCACATGTGAAACAGCTTCTCGAACACAATTGTTGTGCTGTTCTATTTTTGTTTGGAGGGTTTTTACTTTTTATAAATAAAAAAGCTGATAACACTTAAAATGACTTATTTGCTTCCTCGCTGTCGCCTTTGCTTTATCACACCTTGATAATGCTTTGCCTTTTCTTCTTATTGCTGACAGTATTGTCTTCGACTTTCCCTCTTGATTTGAGCATGTCATCCAATGCCATCAATCCTGAGATACCTCCCCTCCTCAATCAGATTAGCACAGGCAAGTGTAGCACTAGCGCATTTATCACTGCAAATAATGACAATTTTATTTCCCCCATTGTTTAGACCATTCACCACCACCACTACCACCAGGCGACGTCCCAGCCATTGACCAATCACGCCCCAGTCAGTCGGACAAAAATGAATGCAAACTAAAGAAGCCCGGCAGAAAAACGCTTCCCAGGCTGCTCAAACGCCACAAGTCTTGGCTCATCTTCGGCCTAGGCTACGCCCTTGGACGGGAAACCTTTGACTCTGGCTGGCTAGGCAAAAAACTGCTGGGGAAGAATGGCAAATCAGGCAAAAATAGTGCTGGAGACGTCCTTCCTTCAACTGAAGACAACGGCGGAGAGCAGGTCTCCTCGAGCATTCGAGGCATCGTCATCTTTGTAGTTTGCGCTCTAGGCGCCCTTCTAATCGGCACCGCCCTTTACCGACTGCTGCTTTGGCCGCCGGCCGAAGATGGCGACTCGGAGGATGATGGAGGTGAAGAACTGAGAGGAAAAGGAGGAAGAGGAGGCAGATTTGGTAATGATGAGAGATCCTTCTCCTCCTCGGCCACCTGCAGTGCCTCAGNAAAGGAGGAAGAGGAGGCAGATTTGGTAATGATGAGAGATCCTTCTCCTCCTCGGCCACCTGCAGTGCCTCAGCGTGCTTAGCGGACCGACAGAAGGTGATGACCAGAGGTGGTGGTGGTGGCAAAGTCTCAAAAAGGAGCTATGAACAGGGACCGGTAAAGAGAGCAGCCAAAATGGAGCCCCCGAATGGTCGTCGAATAGTCGTTGATGCAGGCAGGCATGGCCCACCACCGCCAGCACCGCCACCATCGCCAACTCACTTTTTTCAACTTCAGCAGCCAAAGGGGAAATTTGCGCCGTACATGATGAACTCTGCTCATCCTCAGAACAGTGAGCAGTCATCCTCAAGCACTACCACAATCACCTCTCCCACATCTTTCAGTGGCAGTGGCGGTGGTGTTGATCAAGCAAACCAAACGTCGGTCAACAAACCAAGTTCAAAGCCAAAGAAAACGAAGAAGAAGAGTAAGCAAACTGCAATGGTCTTGAAGTCACAACAACAACGCCAGCAACCGACTGAAGACAGTCAAGTGAGCTCTAGTGCCACGTTTTCCACTGCCTTCAATGCTGCTGCGTCAGCAGCTCCTGCTGCTGATGGCAATAACAACATCAACAAAAACCTGGCTCCTAAAGCATCAACAGCAAAACCACCACCACTACCACGACCACCAGCTGATAAGACAACGCCAATTGTGGTCAACAACAACAACAACGACAGCAACAACACCGCTGAACATAGTGAGTCCACTAAGAATGAGTACCTTCCCTGATTCATTTTTTTGAGATGATCTAGACTAGGTTCTTCTAGAAGGTTGTTTTCATTTACAAAAATCAACTCAAAATGTAATGTAAATGAAGTTTTCTTTTATTTATACATTACACAAATACAGATTAGATCAGCATAAGAGAGAAGAGAGGTGTGGGAAAAGGATAAACAAGAAAGAAAATGTGTGAAAGTGAGGGAAAGTGCTCTGAAGATAGTAGAATAGTCTTTGAACTTTCATTTTGATTGCAATAGTGATCGCCGACGATAATAAGAGGAAGATACAAAGAAAGAAAGAAAGAAAGAAAGAAAGTTTTGTTTTGCAAAACAGAAAGAAAAAGAGGTAAAATGACTTGAAATTGCGCCCAGCAAAGCAGTTTATGTACAGCAGCATCAGCAGAAGTAAGAATTCTAGAGCAAAGAATAGTCCTAGTTAAACAAGTTCAGTAGAATAGTAACACATTAGCTACACTGGGGAGATGATATGGGGGCAATCTTTCTTAATCAGTTGTTGTGCGCTTTACTTATTATGTACAGGGTTTGCAGAGATAAAGTGGTGAAAGAACTAAAAATCTTGGGTCCTAGGCGGAGACTGGAGTGGTAGCCGAGGTCGGTCGGCTGTTTCCACCACCACCACCGCCCATCGACAGATCAGAGATGGGCGAAGTGGAGGCGGAAGAGGAGGCGGCTGAAGAGGCGGCAGAGGGCGCCGGAGAGACTGAATTGGGACGACTGCCGCCGCCCACTGAATCAGCACCACTACCACTGCCGTCATCTTGTCCTTCAGCAGCGGCAGGAGTGGTCGGTGAGCATGCTGGTGATGAGCACTTTTCACCACCACCACCACCACTATTATCACCACCATTACTTGGAGAGAAGGGAGGCGTCGTCGCAGAGGACGGTGGCATCTGCTGGTGCTGCTGGGAAGGTGAGTGCAGTCCACTCTCTGACTTGATCATGGCGTTCTCAGCACTGTGAATGCCTTGACCACCGCCGCCGCCGGCAGCGGCTGCCGCCGCGCCCATCATCGCCATGGACATCATCGGACTGAGCGCCCCTGCTGGGCCCATCAGCGAGGGATGCATTGCCGGGGGGAACTTGAATCCCGGATAGAAGGCGGGAAATCGGGCGGCGTAAAAGGCGGCTGCCGCCGCTGCAGCAGCAGCCTGTTGTTGTTGTTGCTGCTGCTGCTGTTGATGATGGTGCTGCAGCTGCATTTGACTATTCGGACTGAGAGAATCGGAGGTAGCTGCTGCTGATGTTGGCAAGGCCGCTGGAGAACTGCTGCTTCCGCCGCCGCTGCTGCTGGACAACATGGGCTGAGGACTGACGGAGGAGGTTCGGGAGCTCTGCTTTTCACTTGAAGATGGTGGCGGTGGTGGGAAGGTGAGATTGAGAGCATCAGCTGACTTGTTACCAGTAACGCCTCCATTTTCTGATGAGGACAGTTTGCTGCTGTCTGCCATCTTCGGCGACGGCGTCGAGTTGGGTGTGTTGCCGCAGGAATTGCCACCACCACCTCCGCCGCTGTTCATCATTGAGCCTGAAGAGGGGGCCAGAGTTGGTGGTGGTGCCAGTCCATGAGGAGGTGCTGGACCGCCCATCATACTGGGCGGCATCTGAGGTCCGCCGAACATGCCACCCGGTCCACCTGGCTGTCCAAACATGGGAACATTGCTGCCAGGAAAGGCAGCAGGGCCACCGCCTCGTTGCATGCCACCACCTGCTCCGCCGCCACCGCCGCCAAAGTAGAAACTGGCCAGCGCCGGATTGGCAGCCATCATTGAGGAGAGCTCCGCCAGGCCGGGGTGCATGCCTGAAGCGGCCGCAGCCGCCGCCGCTGCGGCCATCATTGCGCCCGGAGAGGGAGCTCCACCGGGTGGACAGCCATTTGGTCCATTTGGTCCACTGTTTGCTGCACCTCCGCCATTGTTAGGTCCATTCGGTGGCATTGCGCCGTTGGCGGCGGCAGCCGCTGCCGCAGCGGCGAACTTCCACGGCGAGGAGGCGAGAGCCGCCGCCTGACTGGCCATGATCAGAAAGTCAGCCTGACCGCAGGGAATACGACCCATAGCAGCTGTAAAGGTGTGGATAGATTTATTAGAATGACTGTTTGTTTGGAAACTCAAATTCAAACTTACCAGCATTGGCCAGCGCCTGTTGGTCTTGCGGCGACAGTTCAGGGCCAAAAAAGGCGCGAAAGGGCGAGTGGCGGAAGGCGTGCTCTCGCAGGAGAGTCTCCACCGATTCACTGCAAGAAAAACAAAAAATTAGAAAATTGTTTGATTGATTTTAACTTTGACTTTTCCAAAAAAGGTTTACTTACATTTCGTACCTCTCCAGGTCGGTCAGTCGACTGGAGTCGCGGAAGCCCTTGGCGAAGGGATTGCTGTCAATCTTCAGTTTAGTGATCTAGTGTAAACATACAAAGTTACCATTTTTGAAAACTCTTTTCTTTTTTTCCATCAACTTACCAGTTGATTCTGGTAGGCAGTGACCGCCGTGAAGACCGTCTCCGGAAAGATGTATGTTCTGAATTGCTCGTGTTCCAGATTGCTGATCGCCAGCTGACTGCTGTGGTGACTGAGCTGATCGTGGCGCAGCTTGACCAGATGAATCCGCGGCTGGTACTTGTGCATCGAGTTGAGGACGATCTGTGCGGGAACGGGCAAAGACTGACGCGTTTAATGAACTACTGTCTACAACTGTGTGTTTCCTCCTCCTCATCCTTATCACCCCTCAACACTTACATGTCCATTCTTGTCCATGTCATTGTTGGTCAGTTTGGTCTTCTCAAAGCTGACCACCTGCTTGCGCAGCTGCTCTCCGGTGAAGGGCGAGTCAGGGTGGAGGTAGAGGCGGATGGGCGACGGCTGGTCCGCCTTGCCGGCCACCAGCCAGCTGGAGCGGTGGTAGGCGTACCGGTACCGCTTGTTGTCCACCGGCACAATGTCCATCAGCACGGCGTAGCGGGCGTTCGGGTCGGTGTTGTGGAAGGAGATGCGGCAGGTGGGGAACATTCTGAAAAGGGTAGAAAAACGAGTTAGCTAAATGTTTGTAATCAAACAGTTTTTCCTGTATTTTCTTTTTTCAATTAGTGCCTTCTTGTTCCTCATTTTATCAAAAAAAAGGCCTCAAACTGACAATGCCAGCCAGATCAGTACCATCACAGCTAAAATGTTTAACTGTCTGTAACCCTGCAAACCCTTACTTGGATTCACTTAGCAAATGAAGTGCGATAGAAAAGCGCGACTTTAGCAAACGACTTTTAGAGATGCCAAAAAGCTGAAGATTTGAAAGGCAAAGGTAACAAGTGAACAGCAGCAGCAGTAGCAGCACTATTGCGCGCACTCTAAATGCTAAATTGCTTGTAATTTGCACACTATCGCACACCTTTGATTGGTTTTATTGCTGTCTCTAGTGAGGCAACAACAGCAGTAAGTGAGACGTGAGTTGATGGCACTGCACTGCGTCTAATTTGTTCCACTAGTGGGGGCAGATTAGGGCAGATTAGATTGAGACAAGTGAAGTCTGCAGAGGGAAGAGAAAGGAGAAGAAAGAGGCATCCACTGCTTTGAGTAAGACATCGAAAAAATAAAAACTAGCTAGCTGTCTGTCGCCAACGATACCGAGCTAGCCTAGAAGCCCTCTTGCCTCCCCAGTTCAAGTGCTAAATTGCTTGAAAAGAGAAAAAGAGGACCACTTTTTTATCACTCTCCTAGGCAGCGCGCACACACACACACACACGCTCAGTGGCAAATAAAATGGGAGGCTAAAGAGAGTGAAGACATGTACAAATTACTCCGGTAAACTGGGAAAGGTGTGCGATAAGGGGAGAAGAAGCTGAAGTGCAAACAGAGTCGCAAGCAGAGAGCTCAGCAGTGTCGCCGAAAATTGATTTGGCGCCACGGAGAAGCTCTTCTGGAGAATCAGCTGGAGAAGTGCTACCTGAAGCTGTCCATTGCCGCCGCCGCCGCTGCTGAAGTGCGCGTGGCGATTAGATTGGAAACAAACGATCACCAGCTGAAGAAGCAGCAACAGCAACAAAACTGACCAGTCAAGTGAAGTGTCCACACAGTCGTTTGCGGTGGCACACACTGCTGGTAAAGTCCACCTTGCTCGGAGTGATAAGAATCGACGAGCTTATGGCTTGTAAGGTGGGGAGAGAGAGAGAAAGAGAGGAAAGGCAGACAAGTGAACGATCGGCGATTTGACAAGTGCCATCACGTCGTTCTCCTCACTTTGGAGCTGCTACTTCTGCCCGTAAGTAAACAAGGTTTTTGCACTTTCACAAAAGTCATTGGCGCCAGGCTGCAGGCTGCTGCTGTGGTCGATATCTGCTGCTGCTCAGTTTTAGCAAAATAAGTGGTGTGTTTTGTTGTCTGGTCGTCTCCCCTGCTAAATGGCCCAATTAAAGTGATAGCGTTTCTAATGCTCACTGTGTTAGGCAACACTGTAACTAGATCTTTTGAGAAGAATCGCCCGTCTGCCTGTGTGTGCGGCACACGACTCAAAGGAATGTTTGGCAGCAATGAAACAAAAATGAAAAGAGAAAAAGCTTACCTTCTGCCCGTCTTGGTGATGATCATCTCCGTGCCCAGCTCGTGGAACTTCTCCCACAGCTCCTTGGTTTCCAGCTTGGCGTCCACTTTGGCCAGCTCCTCGCTGCTGCACCTCGGCTGACAGGCGGGATTCAACTCCGGTTTGCTGTTGCTGCTGTTTTGATTGCCGCCGTTTTTAGAGGAAGAGGATGACGACGATGTCGAATCACCACCTCCATTCTGATTGCCCGATTTGCCGCCATTCGATGAGGCATTGGTTGGTGGTGAGTTGGACTGCTGACGATTGCTGCTGTTGTTGTGGTTGTTGTTGTTTGATTGCTTGCGACCACTCGAGTTTGACTCCTTTCGGTCATTGCCATTGTAGCCACCGCCTGACTTGCTGTTGCTGTTGTTTGAGGGCTGCTGTTGTTCACTGTTTGCGTAGTGGTGGTAGGGTGGATTGTTG